AAATTTTATCTGAAACTAAAATAATATATATGGACGGAACATTTTCAACTTGTCCTTCTGAATTCTACCAAGTATACATATTACATGGAAGCATAAATAATTTAATAATTCCTGTGATGTACGCTTTGCTTCAACGTAAAAATAAGGACACTTATATTGAGTTATTATCTGCTATACGGGATCAATTTGTATCGCTTTCAATAATTTCAATTGATTTCGAACAATCTGTAATACAGGCTATCAAGGAAGTATTTCATGATGAAGTATCGGTGCAGTTATGCTATTATCATTTAAACCAGTCCATCTGGCGAAAAGTTCAGGACTTGGGTTTGGCTATAAAATATAAAGAAGACAAGAACTTCAGATCAGCCGTAAAAATGATTCCTGCATTAGCATTTCTTCCAACCAATACTGTAAAAAGGGGTAATTTATATTATTTTCAAATAAGTAATAAATAAATCAGTATACACACACTTCAGTGTTTGGAATTTTTAATAGGGATGTCAATACTATTCAATTAATTAAAGACTATTGAAGAATTGGACGGCATTTTGGTGTACTTTAATTCTACATACGTTAATGGAACATACAAATCTATTCCTACAGAGTACGGTACGATTAGGTTAGTTCGACGTCCGCCAATATTTTCTCCGTATATGTGGAATGTGTATAATGCCACGAAAGAAGGTTATGGTCGAACCAATAACGTGTCTGAAGGGTTTAATAATAAATTTAAAAATATTGTAAGAATTAGACACCCAAACATTTTTATTTTTATCGAGTCCTTACAGATGTGCAATGTAACTGCAGTGACTGCATTGACAAAAAAAAAATGAAATTATAAATATGCCAAAAACAAATCATTACGAAGATAAAATAAAACAACATTGTAATGAATTTAAATGTAATAATGATAATGATATTCTATATTTGTTGAAAAGAATAAGTGATCTAATATGAATAATTGTGTAAATGTATTAGTATTGTAAATGACGTGATTGTGATTTTATATTTTTGAAAAATAATAGGGATTTTAATCTAATAAAATTAAAAATTATAATATTTGTACAAATTATTATTACTATCATTATAATTGTTTTTTTTTATTTAAGAATTTAAATGTTAAGTTAAAAAAAAGGTGGGTAAGTGGATGTCGCTCTGCTGTACAGTAGGTTACAAGTGGGTCACTGTATAATGGATGCTTTTAAATTTGAATTCAATGATACAATATCATTGTATAAGAAAAACGATTCTGAGCGAAGACGGTATATCAGTCTAGGTTTAAGACAAATTATATACATATCTATGGTATTAAAAAAAAATTGACTTATAATAAATTCCAAATTAATCGTATCACATTATCACAATATCCATTAGGTACTTATAACATGTTATACATCAACATCAATAACAAACCCTGATACTATCATAGATATATAATAGTACACTTTAGAAATTTCAAGTAGGTACCCACGAATAATATTATATAATCACAACAAAATAACTAGGTTTTTTAATATGTAATTTCGTTCAAATTTGAACATAAAATGTCTATAAAAATAAACTGTGATTGTATATTTTTTAGATTTTTCGGTAAGAGAATTAATTACTTACGTGGAATCTTGTTTTTCATTTTCAATCCTTAGCTATAAAAACTGAACATTTTATAATTTATTAATTACGATGATTAATCATTTTCGAGATTTTGAAAAATTCTGTCAAAATTCGATGTTTAAATGCTTATAAAAAAAAAATTGTGCCTATGTATTTTTAATATTTTTCAACTGATATTGTAACAATATATCAGGAGCCTTGTATTAAATTTTTACACTTTTTGGCCCAACAGATAAAACTTTATTGATATTCATAGAAAAAAAAACTAAAAAAATTGAAAACTGAAAATGTCCGTAAACAGCTCAAAAAGAGTCAAAATATATATTGAAAATTGTATGGTGTATAGGAAATGCTAATATAAACATTCAGTAAAATTTTCATGTATCTATAGTTATTCGTTTATGAATAACAACAAAATAAGGAAATCGCTACATGAGAAATCGAGTGAACATCCAATGATGTAAAAATTTGAATTTCAAACGCTCATAAAAATTTAATTTGACTGTCCAGTAGAGATTTTTTTATTGATAAAGGTAGACAAACTTATGAGTAATCTTGTATTACATTTTCAAATCTTAGATTTAAAAAGAAAAATTTTTACGAATTCTTAACTCAAAATAATTTGCTAATTTTCGTGATTTTTCCATATTTTGTCAATTTTTGAACTTTAAATGCTTATAAAAAAAAATTGTGACTAAGGATTTTTAATATTTTTCATCTGCCTTTGAACAATATATTAGGAGCCTTCTATTAAATTTTCAAGTTTTCGCAACCAACAAATAAAATTTTATTGATATTTCTAGAAAAAAAACTAAAAAAAATGAAAAATGAAAATGTCCCTAAACTGTTCAAAATAAATCAAAATATTTTGAAAATGTTATCGTGTATAGAAAATGCAAATATAAACAACCAGTGAAAATTTCATGTATCTACGGTCATTTGTTTTAAAGTTACACCAAAAACCAAATTCAATTTTGCGTAAAAATTCCCGTTTTTCCTTAATTTTTCTTTTGTTTTCCTTGGCGCTTTTGAAAAGTACTGGGATTTTTAAATTTTGACCTCCCCAAGCACCAACGATATTCACTTTCCAATCGAACAAGATACTGAAGTCGAAAATTGAAGCATTATTTCGACTACTTATCGTGTACACAGACACAAAAAAAAAAAAAAACACACATCATTGTAAAATCAATACATTCATCGTTTCACTCAGAATCTAAAAAAAAGATTAAAATTTGGTGATTTAAAATTCCAGGGGCCAAACGTCCTATGGGTAGGTATAAGTAAATCTATATAACTCCCGGGGGCCAAATGTCCTATCTTAATAATGGACGGGGACGAAACGTCCGTGGATTCGTTTTTTTGACGGGGACGAAACGGCGGGGGCGAAACGTCCTTTTACCAGGTACTATATGTTGAAATTGTTAAAAACTCTTTAGTGACCAATACAGTCATTCTGTGGAGTGTACACCAAAAACTTCTCAAAATACTTAGTCCAATATTGTTTGCAGTGATTTGGTGCAAAAGACAATATTGAGATGACACACAGTAAGATGTTTGTTATGCAGGTAATAGATTTTTTGATAAGAGTTTCAAGTCGCACCATTTTTGTGCATCGTACTCATCCCATGTTTCAAGAAAAACGCTATCATGGTTTTCGATCTTTTCCCATACAGTTTGAACAACGTGGATGTAGTGAAAACTGTTGAATGTAATTTAATATTGTATAAATAGTAACATCATATCGTGCAACAATAAGAACATTGTTGTTATTCCCAAATTTCAAATCAAACCATAAAATAGTGGAGCATCTAGGATTTTTTTCTAGGGATGATATGACCAAAACTATTTAGCACATTATAGGGCCAGGCCACCAGGGGGACAACCGACAAATATCAAGGATATCTATATGTTATCTTACCTTTCCGTAAAGTACACTATATAAGCCATGTCGCCATGATGTTATACCAACTAATAACTATACTAACATTTAAAATATTATACATTTATATCCATAAAAAATTCACAAAATATTTATTCGTCTTGGGTTTCGAGACATTTCGTCCAACACTTCGTCTATATTAATGTCAATATCTCGAATGCTTAACATCGCTAAGCTATTTAGCCTCTTCTAAACTGAAAAATAAAATATTACAAAATGCTTAGGTTAATATATTATTTCAGTATTACTACAGTATAAATGTTACAATAACAAGGTCAATAAGATAAGGCCGACTTTTAGTGTACTGTAAGCACTACATTATATTATTACTTATGTGTACGTCGTACGTTTAGTGAAATATGACTTATTACTATAAGCAGTGTAGTCATTTTTGTCCAGATCAATCTACAAACATAATGCTAAACTCAATAATAACAAATATGCTTGGATCAATACTATTGGGCGTAGACATAGATAGTTGAGTCCAAGAGAATTGATCCCAAGAAAAATGAAAAACAAAATACACCAAAAAAATATTATTTCTTGTGTTTCAAATAATTACATAAGTAATGTTAGTTATAAGTTGTTTTTTCAGTTACGACTTGTATAATATAACTCGATAATTTGCACATTCGTCGGTAAACACCTTAGGTATAAGGTGCATTATTGGTTTTATTATATTTTTATCACTTGAGTAAATAATGAGTTTACAAATTAAACAAGCCACCAAGACTCTAGTTCTATATTGTAAAGAGATATATAATAATGAATGGCGTTTTCAGACAAATAGAGAATAATATTATTTTGTTATTATATTATGTTAGTCGTCACTAAACAAATAATGTATTGCGAACAATGAACATTATTTAATTTGTGCTGAGGAAGTATCGAATGGAACAGCTCACTTATAAAATAAATAAATAAGTAGTATTTTATTTATTTGTTGCTCAACGTTCACATAGTTGTTTTATTTTTTTCTTCAGACAAACCAAAATGAATTTTTTTAGGAAGTATTTAATAACATTTACATTTACAGTAATCTCAGTTTATGTTATGCCTGCAGTTACTGTAAATATAGAACAATTACGCGGTAAGGACTAATATACCTATCGGCTTAGAACGATTATATTTGTGTAATAATTTAAACTTGTCAGTAATTTATCAATAATGATTTGTATAATACTTCAGAATTTAATTGAAAACAAAAAATATATTTACGTTATTGAATGATAAAATCTACAGACCAACAGAAGTTATCGTATTTCTTACTTCTTAACATAATACAGGGTGGTCAAGAAAAGGCGGATACATTTAAAAACTCTGTCAAATTGTTAAATTTGGTCATATTGGCTTGAAAGTAAAAAGAATGTGTAGAGGAACATGGAAATTTTTATTTACAAAATGAAAAAAATAAAAAATGGTTAAGTGTGAAAAATTATTTCATTTATATGACGACCCTTTTCGGCGATGCACTGCTCAAGGCGGTCCCTGAGCGGCGTCTGGTGGACCGACGTGGACTCTGCAAATCGGACACTCTTACACGTTCAACATTTTCAGGCGTAACTACTGATGGTGTAGGACCGAGTTTTTTCTTTTCCGCCACACTACCATGTGTACGAAAATTGTTTACCCACCGCAAAATTGTGTTACGCGCTGGAACAATGTCACGTACACCAAGTTTAAACCGACGAAGGAAAGCACGTCGCGTGGATACAATTGACTCGCCATTTCGAATAAATTCGGAAACAGCAACAACACGATGCTCAACACTCCACTTGTCCATGACTACTAAAATTATATTCCCGAGTTACAAGATAACAGTGCCAGCAACCTTGGGAGACCATGCCCTTCCCAGTTATACCAATTTCAAAAACATCCGTTTTCCACTGACCACTCTGTATATGATGTCGCTTACAATAGTGTTATACATGGTGTCCCTTGAGGACTTACCCATTGTGATATCTCCTGAGATAATGAATATATCATAAATCTGTTTTTTTTTTTATGAGATTCTTAGAGACAAGGACTATAAATATTTTATTTGTTAATTAAATTAAATTTTTTGGTACAAAAGTTAAATAACTATTTTTTTTATATTGTTATTTTTGAAAAAAATTGAAGAGAGCCATTTTATAGAGTTTATTTTTGTGAACATTTTGACTTCTTAACATTTAATTTTCATTACTTTCATGGTTTTTAATAATTTTTTTAGTTTATAGGTAAAACGGCAAAAAACCTGTTTTTGCCATGGCGGCGAGTCCGCTTTACGGCTAATGGGTAGAGGACACTCTGTATATACATAAAGATGTTTTAAAAAGAGCATATTATTTATGATTTTGAAGAAAAGAATATATATTTGAAAATTACATTTATATTAACTTATAGGTACTAGTATATTCATTGAATTATAGAAATATGTTGCCTATTAGAAACAATTAATATCGCAACTTCTAAAAAATATTGAAATCTGATTTTGTTTTAGTTGACCAAAAATCAGATAGTATTATCAACAATACCTTACCTAAATAATTTTTTTCTACATAGGTTTAGAATATAATTATCATAGGTAGTTTTTTTAAAAATTGAATGATGTAAGTACATAAAAACGGATCATGTGGTTAAATAATTTTAATAGTATTTACGTAATTTATAGTAAATAGACAAGATTAACCAATATATTTTTTTTTTTTAGGGGACTGTATTGGTAATATTTTCATTTAATTATAAGTAAACATAATATTATACCATTTTAGGATTAGTTAGTATGATATAATGAATTTTTATCCTCGTACAAAAAAAAGATTGTACAGGTATGAAACCCAGGAACATACCAAGGAAATCAAATAAAAATAAACTATTTATACTAAAAAGAAAAAATATTACGGAGATGACTTACTATAACAGGAGAGTAGATGACGGTAAAAAAAAAATAGAGTCTGAAACAATATACAAAAAAATATCATTGTAGAGGCTACCATAAAGATAGTTGTCCACTGATCATTACATGCAAATATGCAATAAGTAGATGAAACTCATTACTAAGAGATGTGGTGGAACAGAATATGGAAGGAAAAATACCCCTGGTAAAACAAAAATGATGTGTGAAGAGGGACGTGGAATCATTAGGAGATTGATGAAATTGGAAGAATCTGAATGAGATATAAATGGTAGGATAAATGGATGTGAGACAAGATGACTCCCTAGTGGCCTCATAATATGAAGAAGAAAAAGATGACCAAGTATTTAAAAAACGTATTTTGTGTATTCTTAAATTATGGTTAAGAGGATTTTATGGTGCATTATGTTGATATTTTATGAGGAGAAACAATCCACGGCCTGGGACAAGGGTGCATCCAAAGTTAGAAAATTGTGGGTCAGAACATTTCAAGGGGCCATTTATTAAAACCAGATTAGAAATCTATAATACTTGTGTACTAGATATATAAAACAAAAAAATGCATTTATACTGTATGTATGCTTATTCGAAGGTCCAAGTGTCCAACTACCCAAGATCTGAAAAGAGGCCAATTTGATCAGAAAATATTAACTGTGGGTCAGCTGACCTCCCAAACAACCCCCCCTAGATCCGCCACTGGTCTGGGAGAGACTATGAATTATCAGGTAGCGTAAAGAGGAATGTGATTCATTGATTTATGTTCATTTGATTTTTGTTTTCTATATTGTATGTGTTTTTTATTTGCTTATATATCTGAGGTTAAATTCTCCTTACGAGGGATGCAGACAGGCAAGACAATTCTGTCCTATTTATTGCTTGAGAGAACTTAACTGAAAATATACTCTAATATTTCAATGTCTAAGAAGACAATGAAATATCAGGCAGCGCTTGGAAAATTTTGCTATAGTGGTATTTATAAAATGAGATATGTGTTATTTGTTGATTTTAATGGACCATTGGAGTTTCAATATTTGGAAATGCTCATGTAGGGGGGTTTTTAACGGTCCGATGTTATGGAAGGGTTGTTCAGGTAGTGCAGTAAATGACAATGACATTTTTTGTGACTAATAAATAAAAATAATGTACCGAAATGAATTTATACCTGGTGTTTAGTTGATTTCACTTCATAGAGCAAGACAAACTAATACCGGAATGAAAAAAAGGAAGGTGGCACATGAGCTGTTGCCGACGGAGTTGATGTGGTGATAAGCGTTGATTGCTGTGGTGTGCACTGTGCTTCAGTGGAACATCGTATGATCGCCGAGAGACGATGAGTGTGTGTATTGTTTGCGTTTTGTACATATTATAGAGAAGTGATTGTATATCCCCACTAGATTGTTATTGCCACATTAACTTCGATGCCCTTGCATTGATTGTGTTGTGTTTTTGCATATTGTCGTTGGTTTTTTAGCATTATTTGCATGAAAGGGGTGTTTTATTAGGTCAAGTGTTCATGTGTGTTATAGTTATTATCCTTTTGTATAATATTTTAGTAATGATATTTTATTGTTTGAGTGATTGATTCATTGTGCGCGTGCGTGGAGGATGTGCTTCTGTCGTGTACGTATAACGTGCTTAGTATTGTGGTGAATGAAGTATTTTATATTACGACTCCGTATGTTTATATAATGCTTATACTAGTTCATGCATGCAAGTGGTGTAGGCTATTTCTGAAGAGGTGTTGCTTTGATTTGCGTCATAATATTATGTTGATGCTATTTTTATTTTCCTTTTGTATAATATTTTAACAGTGGTATTTTGTTGCTTAAGTAAATGCTATATTTTTGCGCACGTATGGGTATGGGTTATGTGTCCATGTCGTGTATAATATTTGTAAGCTATAAATGATTAGCATTGCGGTGTACAAAGTATTTGATATTTTAAATTTATACTTTATAATTCGTAGTTTGGCTCAAGTATGTGTATTTTGTCTTGGTGAGATGATATTCCGATTTGCGTTGTGACATATTGGGGCTATATTTATTTTCCCTTTGTTTAAAGTTTTAATAAATGATGATGTAATTGTCAAGGAATGTTGGTTACCTAATATTATTTTATATTGCGTAATAATGTAATATATTTTAATTGTGTTTGATTTTTCACCAGGGACTGGAACCTTGATGGTTTTACGGTTCTGGTTATTATTCAGTTCCCAGTAAAACTAAAATTTTGGTTTCGGTTCCCAGAAAAACTAATATTTAGGTTTCGGTTTCTTTTCGGTTCTTAAAAAATAAAAAAATTGTTAACTGTTTTTTACTTATGGAAAAAAATTTGTCAAGTAAAAATATCGGTTCCGGATGGTTCCGGTTTTAAAATATTTTAAATTAGGGTTCAGGTGAGGTTCCGTTATTAAAATTAATTTAAATAAGGGTTTCGGTGAGGTTTCGGTTCCCAATATTCAAAGGGTTCCGTTTCCAAAACTGGTTCTTTTCGGTAAGGTTAAGGTCAGTGTTTTTCACACCCAAATATGTTCATACTTGGTATATTTATTCTATAAGTTTATTTAAGTATAAACGAGTATATTATTTATATATTACACCACAGATAATTTTCTTATCTAAATATTTGATAGTGGGTCTATTCATTTTAATAGAAAAACTAACAGTACATTATTGAAAATAGTGAGCGAACATTTTCTATGTCGTGCGCGTGTAAGACGAAGACAACAAATGCATAGGTAGCAAACCATTAAGATTAATGGCTATTATCCCAATTGACAATTCCAAAAAAAAACACAATAAATTCCGAATCTGTTTTTAATAATTTTATTAGAATAATTTTAAAATGTTTAGGGATTCTAACAGCATGTGCTGGATTTGAAGGTAAATTAATTTTAATTCACAAATAATTAGTTATATTACTATACTCTGTCAAGTGAGAGAAGGTTCCGATTTTTCGCATCCCCCCTCGTCACCTTGCTATCGTTATTCCCTTATGGCATGGTGTTGAGTGGGGAAACTAGTTTTGGTCGGTGAACCACGCGTTCTATCGATGGACAGACTATAATAGGAACCAATTTTTTAAAATTATTTAAGACATAATTATAATTTTAAATATGACGATCATAAATGTAAATTTAACTATTTAAGTTATTATAACTATAAGTATTTGGAAATGTGGTCATCAGACCAACAAATGTTTATTAATTTATTTATTATTAGAAATATGTTTAGAATTTTTTTCACGAATAATTTTCTGCTGCAAAAACATTGCACAAATGGTGAAATGTATGCTTTATTTCGGTTCCAGCGCCCAGCAATTATAGCTTAACGCTCCACAGTGGTCATCGCGGCGGCGACATCTTACTCCTCGTCTATCCACCACTCTGTCCTGTAAATTGTTTATATGATTGAAATTGTTATTTAATGTTTGTTCTTTGTTTTGTTTTCTGTGTGATGATTATTGCTCGTTCGTTGGCCTCGCGATTATCAATGTTATTGTTTTGGTTTTCGTGATATCTTAGTATTGCGGCCAATGCCCTACGGCCTACATCATTACTATTTATTATTATTAAAATTCAACTGTTTGTTTGTTTTTTGGTCAGCTATTACAGCGACCATACTTTTTATATTGTGTGATCCTTTAATATAGTGACCTGTATTATTATTGTAATATTATACTTTGTGATCAGCTAATTTAGCTATCGGTGAATTATATGTGTGATCCGCTATTAAAGCGAGCACAACAAATATTTATTTATTTTATTTAATATTTCATGGTTCACATGGTTGTCGATTATTATAATTATTTTTATCATTATATTGTGTATCGCTATCAAATCAAATCTGAGATTTTCAGTAAAGATACGATCTCCAACGCTCAATCGT